TTTGTGTTTCATATACATAATGTACAATGTATTTTACTCAACATATATTATAGTTTGATAATATGTCTTTTGTCGTTTTTATATTATTTTCGGAAAAGTACCCCAAAATAAAACTTTATAACCCTATAGTAAATGTACCGTATATTGAGAAAGCCAATTATAAATACATGTACGGTAGATTTTCCCCCAACTTTACACGTACACTTGAAATAATGTAAGCTATGTATAATAATAAAAAAAATGAAGATGAACAAACTATTATGTATGAAATGCATGAATCATTTCTGTTTTGTAGAGATAAAAACGCAATGCAAAGTAAAGTCAATAAGGAAATATTAAAAAGAAAAAAAAAATAACTCATATTACTTGGAAGTTAAATAAGATATATTTTTGAAAAATTACCTCATATATAGTTTCGTATCCTATTTTCGACCGTATTGTATTTTCGACTTATTTTTCCCAATCTGCTTCCCATGCAGATACCGCACAGTAGAATATTATTTTCGGTTGCTACACTTGGAAAAATATCTTTGAAGCACAACTGTACTTAAAATACCCAAAATAATTATTTCAATGGAATTCCCTCGATGGTTTTAGTCCGATATCTGAAATTCTAGTCTTTTTACTAATGCACATTTTATCTGTTCATTAATCAAAGCCGTAATCGGTTAATTACAAAGATTTTTTGATGACATTTTTCCGAAAGAAAATTAAGATCTCTGTCAAAGAGACGCATGAATAATTAAATAAATTGGTGGATTAAACAATTTTTATTCTTCCTTAAATATTGGCTATTTCTTACATATTTTCATTGAAAAATGCAACGTAATTTCATTGATTTTTTCGGGAAATGCACAGATAACAGATAGGTTCAACAAAAGAAAAAATGTATTTGCAACCAAAATATGCAACTTGTTCAATGTTTTTTTGAAAGACAGACAATCGTTTTTTTCTTGTTTGGAATATTCAATGGATATTTATAGCCAATACTGATTGGGCGTTGATACTATATTTAGGTCGAAAACAGAAGACGCTAATATTTTTGTAAAGAAAACTGTACCCTCTTCATATTATGGCATATAAATGAAATAAACACAAAACTGCAATTTGGGTTATATCATTTATATTTATATTTATAATTTATCATAAACGACTTTTTAATGAGAATTAAAAGTTAACAATAACAAAAATGACATGACTCAGGTGACTTAGGAAAAATATTAGTTTCAACAAACAAAATGTAACAATAACAGTCACAGATATAATGAAATAGTCCCAGCAGAGCAGGGTTTGTTACAACGCAAAATGTAATAAACTTGGATTAATACATTTTGCTTTATTACATTTCACGTCGAAATCAAGGCAAAATGTAATAACACAAATTGCAACAATACACCTTTTGAGGATTATTACATTTTGCATTATAACCTTTTGCGTCGAGATCAAGGTAAAATGTAATAACACAGAAATGTAGTAACATTATTTTGGATTATTACATTTTTCATTGTTGTATTTTGCGTCCAGATTAAGCAAAAGGTAATTTTAGAACGCAAATTATAATAACACTTTTTTTTTCAGCCAGGCGTAGTATAATTTTCAAATGAGTAATGGGTGAAGAAGTAACAAAAAGAAAATAAACAAGAGGCCCAAGGGCTTTGAATCGCTCTTCTGATAAATTGTACAATCTATCACTTCTATTAGAAGCCTCCAACTCTATCAGTATCATAAGACCCAAAATGCATCAACTTACAAAGTATGATACTTAGCCAGTTAAGACTGAAGATATTAATATAATATAATTATAAAATACCATAAGTAGGTCACAGTGACCTACCTTTTGATTGGAATTTTCTGAGGACTCGATATACATTAATTGACAAAGACTGATGATTCTAATTAAATACTTATGTGATATTCAATAGTAGGGCACCATGTCCTACTTTTTGGTCAACATTCTCTGAAAACCCAAGATGCATCATCTGACAAAGTTTGACAATTCTAAGCCAATTAGTTCCAGAGATAATTAAATATAGCCATCAAATGTCAAAAGTAGGTCACGGTGACCTACTTTTTGGTCGACGTTATCCAAACCCCAAAGGTGCCGAAACTGAGAAAATTTGCTGATTCTAAGCCAAATAAATACCTGAGATATTCAAAAGTAGGTCACTGTGACCTACTTTTTGTTGGAAATTCAATGAAACCGTAAGATGCCTCAACTGACAAAGTTTGATGATTCCGAGCCAATAAGTACCAGATATAATTTAAATATAGCCATAAAATGTCAAAAGTAGGTCACAGTGACCTACTTTTTGGTTGACGTTCTCCGAAAACCCAAGGTGCCTAAACTGACAAAATTTGCTGATTCTAACCCAAATAAATACCTGAGATATTCAAAAGTAGGTCACTGTGACCTACTATTTTGTCGACATTCTCTGAAAACTAAGATGCATCAACTGACAAAGTTTGATGATTTTAGGTCAATAAGTACAAGAAATACTTAATTTTAGCCACAAAATGTCAAAAATAGGTCACCATGACCTACTTTTTGGTCGTCACTCTCCGAAAACCCAAGATGCATCAACTCACAAAGTTTGATGATTCTAAGCCAATAAGTACCGAAGATACTTAAATAAAGCCATAAAATGTCAAAAGTAGGTCACCGTGACCTAATTTTTGGTCGTCACTCTTCAAAAACCCAAGATGCATCAACTGACAAAGTTTGATGTTTCTAAGCCAATAAATACCTAAGATACTTAAATATAGCCATAACATGTCGAAAATAGGTCATTGTCACCTAGTTTTTGGTCGACATTTTTCAAAGACCCAAGATGCATCTTCTGACCAAGTTTGATGATCGTAGGTCTGAAGGTAATCAAAATATGAATTTTAAACAATTTGAAAACAAATGTCGGCAAAATTCAAAAAGTAGGTCACAGTGACCTACATTTTCATAAATATGTTTTAAGGTCCTTAGATGCATCAAAGTACAAGATTTGATTATTTAAAACCTCCCGGTCACTCTCCGAAAACCCAAGATGCATCAACTCACAAAGTTTGATGATTCTAAGCTAATAAGTACCGAAGATACTTAAATAAAGCCATAAAATGTCAAAAGTAGGTCACCATGACCTACTTTTTGGTCGTCACTCTCCGAAAACTAAATATGCATCCACTCACAAAGTTTGATGATTCTAAGGCAATAAATACCTAAGATACTGAAATATAGTCATAACATGTCGAAAGTACGTCATCGTGACCTACATTTTGGTCGACATATTTCAAAGACCCAAGATGCATCTACTGACCAAGTTTGATGATCGTAGGTCTGAGGGTAATCAAAATATGCATTTTAAACAATTTGAAAATAAATGTCGGCAAAATTCAAAAAGTAGGTCACAATGACCTACATTTTCATAAATATGTTTTAAGGTCCTTAGATGCATCAAAGTACAAGATTTGATTACTTAAAACCTCCCGGTGTCTGAATAATGGGATTTAATTTTTTTAAAAGATAAGTCATAAAGTTCAAAAAGTAGGTCACGGTGACCTACTTTTAAGTTTTCATTGTTCAAGGACCAAAGATGCATCAACTGACAAAGTTTGATGATCAAAGGCCTTAAAGTGTCCAAAATATGCCTTCAAATCAATTTGAAAACAAATCCCCACAAAATTTTAAAGTAGGTCACCGTGACCTACTTTTGAGTTAACATGATGTGAAGTCGTAAGATGCATCAACTTACAAGATTTGATGATCCTAGTCCTTATAGTAAGAAAAATATACACGCTTTTATTAATTGTAAATTTAGGTCAACTTTGAAGTGACCTGACCTTGAGACCATGCCCTTTGCCGCAGGGTCATGCCTTGAAACAATTTTTAATCTTCAACATATCCTAATCTTTGTATGTAAGTTTGGTAAAAATCTGCCTGGTGGTTCTGGAGAAGATGATTTTTTAGCAACCAGTACTTTTGGTTTTGTTTTCCTGATTATCTCCCCTTGTTATTGGGTTCCAACCCTTATTTTCGTATAAAGGGTAGCCCTTTGGCCAAGGATACCCTGTGACAAATTTAGTACTGATTGGCCAAGGGGTTCTTGAGTTATGGCCCATATTCTAAAAAGTTAACACACACCGCACAAATGGCCATAGCATTAGCTCTTTGAGCCTTTGGCTAAGAAGAGCTAAAAAGCAAAAATATAAACAATTCTTATTCTTAAAATAGATCGTTTATTATACTCTATCAATTTCGTTAGGTACATGTTTTTAGATGTTAAATATTCAATTCTTAGGTTTTGGAAATTACGTGCGCATGCGGGCGGGAGGTTGTTGTCGATTAGCTAACCAATACACACATGACACATATGCATATCAAGAGCTCTTAATAGATCTAAGGTCAATCTTTGGTTTTTGAAAATGTTATTAGTTAGATTGGTTAGATATTTAATAAGACTGATTTATAAAAAAAAGATATCAATCAAAGTTTAATTTAGGTTTATATATGTACGAGTATCCAATTAAAATTTCTGAAACCGAGTCAGGGTTTTAAACAAGAGGCCCACGGGCCTTAATGGTCACCTGAGTATCATGAAACAGCTTTCCAAATATTGAATTTGGCTCGTTTTTAAGTCTAAATGTCATGAAATTCACAATTTTGAAAAAACACCATTGCTTATCATAATTATACACTTAGAATGCCTTCTCTAGTTACTTAATACCCAGAGTAAGATTAGAGTAAGAATAAAAACATAGGTAATCAGAGATTACAGAGCTCACCTCAAGGAATGCTGTCTTCAAGTAAGGCAAAGTCACACAAATAACCAGCAAAACGTTTACATCCAAAAATGAAAATATATAAGGAATTTCGATCTGGTACTTTGAAATAGACCTAGATAGAAAATTTAAACTAATTCTTCTTCATGAAAATGTAATTAAAATTCAGCATCTGAAGCAAATTTGAGAGTTTTCATCTCTTGATGTAAGATTTGTGCAAGTTTGTTTATACAATGTTATGTAAGCCTTATATAGTTTTTGGTAATAGACCTGCACCCATAACTTTTACCTGGTCTATTATCTGAAAAATGTATGTCGAATTCAGCATCCGAAGCAAGTCCATTAGTTTGCATCCTAAGATGTATCGTCCATGCAAGTTTGATCATAGACATAGAGCAGTGGTGGAACACGTTCATATTCCGCGCAGGCAAAGGAAAAGAGATCAGCGTGGATGACTTTGTTTTGATCCTGTTGGCTGATTATAAGAAAGACAAGACAGGCTTTAAAGATAGCACGCAAAAGTGTTTCGAAAAGGTTTTCGACGTCATAGACATGGATAAGGGCCGCACGATTGATCTCGACGAATTTGTGTTTGCTATCAGAGCGTTTGGTCACGAGAACGGGGCTGTCCTGAAATCCGTGTTCGATTCGTTGGGGCAAAAGAAAGGTCATATGAAAAAGCTAGTGGATTCCTGGATCCAATTCGTGTGTGATGAAGATAAATCTAAAAAGGATGTGTTATTGGACGCTTTTTAAAAAAGGAATGTAAATAATTCCTATGCAATAAACCATTCATGATTGCACAGTTAATGAATAATCACCTTTATCACTCGAAGGAAATAAAAAAAATATATATCGTATTTTCTTACTTTGATCTTTTTTTCAATTACATTATTTTGTTATCTCTTGACTTGATACAAGCGATTTCTTAAAACATTGAAATATAACTGAAAATGAACATAGTATACAATATATTAAACTATTTTGCAACCTGAATATTTTTCTTATCATCTCAATCAGATTTCTACCATCAAACATTTGAATGAGATTCAGTTTGTACGAAAAAATTGGTTTTACTCTCAACCTTGAAACAAGAAGGACCATGGTGTTTCTGTTATAACATGTTTAACCTGTTTTAACATAATTGGTAATGGGAAACATTAGGACTTTACTTTTTTTTACATTGCCTGAAATATATATGAATAATGAACCGTCTTCAAGCTTCATGAAATATACAGATATAAAGAAAAGTATTCAAGCTCAACAGTCCATTCAATATATACATTTATTGCATGATAGTGAGGGAAATATGAAGACTTATTCAGCCAAGAAAAGTCATATTCCCCGAGGGCTTCGCCCGAGGGGAATATGATATTTCTTGGCTGAATAAATTTTAATGTTTCCCGAACATTCATGCAATGAATTGTTTATTATTCCGAAACAAGCAAAACCTTTAAATTAAACATCAACTTTCAAATTCGGCACCGCTCTCTAATTCACACCATCGTTAACGTAAAGTTACTATAAAACCCTTTGGTCAACACATTGTCGTCAGTTTTGTGACGTAAACCAAGCTATTGTGACATCTACTACTCTTGGGAGTTTTCGTTCAATGAACGAGAACTATATTGCCGGAAAATTCACTAAGTGTTCCGAAGAGATGGAATATGATGAAAAGCGTGCCGACGACGGGAAATATGAAGTTTTACGATCACGTGATAACCTAGAACCAATCAGAAAACGCGTTGTGTAGAATATTTATAATGAGGTATAATACTATCATTTAGGAGCTGAGCAAACATGGACCTCTTAAACATCAGGGGTGGGATCGGATGAGTTGCCATGCAGAAGTGAGCACCCGGTACCAATGGGATATAGGAGTATATATTTATCAGGACTGATTTATATTCCTAATAAAACAATTTAGGTTATATAGTAACTTAGTTTACTATAGTTAACTTTAGTATATCAAATTTTCAAAGATTTCACTTTAGTAAATCATACTAGAAATATGACGTTAATTAATTGGTACATTTTTCAGTATTATACAAAAAGCCTCAGAGTGACTCATTTCTGTGCATATTCTTTTTTTTAAATAGAAAATATTGTCTGCCACCGTCACCCACTCCAGTTTGTGGATATAGTTTTGGGCGATGCATGCAGAGTATGATTTCTAAAAGAAAAAAAAAATAATTCAAAGAATTTGCCCCCGCTTAGGGAAGATGAAGAACACGCGCAAATCGATTCTGACAATTCTGTTTCATGTTTGGGCAAAATACTTGAAAAAGACGTTAATGGTAATATAACAACCTCTATGATAAACATGATGACTTTTAATTTTCTATCGTCAACTTCCCTTACTTATGCAGCAATACACTTTCAGTTCTGCATAGTATATATTTCTAATTTGATTCGATACACAAAAGCATGCTCTACGTTTAAACGATTTCTAAATCGATGTAAATTATAGACAGACAAGTTGATGAAATACGAATATAACAGAATCTCTAGTCGATACGATTACGTTGTCAGGAAATACAAAGTAACATTGAGTCAAATGCTTACTGATGTTTTTCATACAAATTGTTAGTACATTATAAATACACTGAATTGACGACAAATTTTCGATCATGACAGAAAGAACACAGCGGGTGTTACTGGTCCGCAGATGATGCTTTCAGCTCCATGGCACCTGATGCCTTTTTGATCTTGAATACAGTTCGTTTAACCAATATGTTTCATTTTTAAAAAATCCTTAACTGATAAAGTATTTAGAGGATACCAGAGAAAGATAACAAATTAAAAGCAGTTTATGAAAAACGAATTTCTCTATAAGATTTCTAATCATGAAAATCGTGTTACCGCATTAATTTTAACTCTAAAAGCATGTGCATATTTATTTTGCAAAGTGCACAAATTTCATATAGCCCTCGTATGTGACTTTACTTTTTGATTGTCTAAGAAACTTCAAAATTAATTTTAGTGTAAAAACATGTATTTTCTAAAAAAAACATGTGTTTTGTGTACGGAGTATCTTTTCTTTCTAGCGTTCGAATAATGAAATGTAGTTGACCGTATCCTCAAATTTTGTAATGTATTCATCAAACTTTATATTTCCTCTCCACGAGGAAGGGGTTTTACATGATTCAGAGAACGTCCCTTTCTTCATTGATATATATTGACGGCTCTTTGTCAGTAAAAATTTTCCAATAGGACGTAGTCAATCAAACTAAGTTATCAATAATGGAGATCGACTTGTTCTGTGTAATTTTGTTTCGACATTAAGTTTTGCAAACTCAAATTTGTTTAAGTAGTTTTTCCAATATTCTTGAAACGCTCAAATCCTTTTTTTACCATTAAAATCATGTCATTTGTTTTATATAACTAGGCTTCAAAAATATGAAATTATGCTTATTGTTATATTTCGCTAGCGTTATATTTCGACTTAACAATTTTATTTTTATATTTAAGATTTTTCAGATTCGAATCATTATAAATGCACTTAATATGGAAATGTGTTTTTTATCATGATTGAAATCATATTTTGTACCTTTTTTCAAATGTTCGCGAAATACAATACAATACAGCTTGCAACAAACGTCTTAAGTTGCAATTGTGTCATATACACACAGATTTAACCGCAAATTATTAGTAAAGACTTGCTGAAGAAGTATCAATTCCAGAGAGTGTTGTGGATTTTCAGATATTAGGTATAATCAAGTTTGAACTTAAACTTAGTAAATGGGATGTAAGAGAGTTAAATCCTTGTCATCTCTGAAAACAAAGTAAGGATGAATACATGTACATCTTCAGGGTTTATGTAAGGTCAATCACTGAGAAATCACACTATAACAGTCAGCGAGATATGTATTTAGGGAGATTGAATATATATGTATGTATTTAGAAAACAGCTTATTGACTTGTATCCAGCTGTAAATTGTACAAGTTTTCCCTTTAAAAAAGAATCTAAAGGCAACTAAACTAGCTAGAAAAAATTCAATAGGACCTTGCAAAATGCATTTAATGCAGAGTTGGAAAGGGGCTAATAGCTTATGGCTCTCAGAGGAGGCACAATTTTTTTTAAAATGTATATGTTTATAAACAAATCGTGAGCTTTTACGGTTCTGAAAAATCGTATATAGCACAAATGGTTTGCAAATATATCCAGTAAAATGAGCAAAGCAGTGGTCATAAGAAATTTTAGTGCATGGATCTCAAAAATAATTCGTTTAAGATATGTTGCCATATTAACTAAAATTGAAGAGTGTTAAAGAATTCTGACATCGTAGAAAATTTTTGAATAAAATCAAATATTTATTAAAATGACACATGCATATGAAATTTTTTATGTAACCCGTGTTTCTGTCTTACTTTAAAAGTGTGATATATATTGTAAAATGAATAGTCCAGTTGAAATTGTGGACAAATTATCTAGTTTGAAAAAATAATATCATGTATATTAAAGTCAATGTCTAAAGCATCGTCTTGTATCCTCTTTGTTGAAAAAAAAACTTTGAAAAGTTCCCTTTAAATTTTGGGAATTTCATTTATGCAATACGCAAGTTTCCTTTTTTTCTGCACGCATTGATAACCAATCAAGGAACCGATCTAGCACAAACACAAGCACAAACTTCTGAAAATTAATGAGTTGGTTATGAACAGAATAATTATTTCTCACTCCCTATGATCTGAATATGCAATTGTCTACAGTGACAGCGTCTTTAGTTATTACCATAACTGTTTGTCTGTATTTTTTATTTTACCCGTGGATTAAATAAAAAATATTTTGTTGTGAAAACTTCTATATCTTATGTAAATTAAAGATCTAGTGAATTTTTTTCTGCACTCATTTATGTAGCTCAGACCGTCTTTACTTAGTTTAATCAAACTAAACTACCTTCCAGTGCATCATGACGTCAACAAACGTGCATTGTGTTTACCATTTTTCCATTTTCGAATGTCCGGGAAACTGCTAAAAATTGATAGAATGCCTTATTTTTTTCCAAAAGACGTTACAGTAAATATTGGATTAAAGTAAAATCGTTATTAACCCACTTTAATAAGTTCATTTTGAAATAATAATCGTAATTCTGCAATGAAGTTAGAGTACTTTTAATCGTGTACCAGAGGACCGTATCTCTTTCATATTCGAACATTTCTGTCTATTATTTTTCAGAAATATGAAGATGCACTTAAAAATGAAAAAATAAACATTTGTTTAAAATTTCATCTTGATGCGACCATAATATTTTGAGAAAAAAGCTATATTTACGACAACATTCGTATGGAAATAAATGTTAACTTCTGAGAGAGAGTTTTAAGACTATTCTTATATACAGCTATTAGACAGGGGGAAGAATGATTATGATAAATTATTCAGTTCTAAAAATTTAATTTCTCTTTAATAAGCATTGCTTTATATTCATACCATCAAACTGTTTCAATAATTTGAACCTGTATCACTTTATATATACTTGTCATTTTTTACTGATTGTTCATTTTCAATCAAATGCTTTTATCATATTGTATCAGATAGTAAAGAAGCGTTCCCTTCGTGATCGGGAGGCTCGGTTCGATTCTCGTTTGCGGCACCTTGTCAAAACTAAGACGTAATCATAGGTAGTGACTGTTCCTTTGCTAAACGCTCGGCACTAGAAGTGAAAATCACGGGTTTTTCTGATATGAGCTTAAAAACGTAGGTCCCGTGTCACGGTAAGCGTTAGCACGATAAAGAACCCTCACTGCTCAATGACCCTGAACAGCTGAAGATTGAGTAAAAGTCTAATTCTTAATCCCTTCACAGGCATACGGTGACGTCTCAATATGAGAGAAAAATTCTCGAGAGGGATGTTAAACAACACTAAACCAATAAATCAACTGAACATTTTTAGGCAATGCTCGTACATGTATCTGACCTTCAAAAAAAGTTATATTTAGCCTACTTTAGGCACAAACTTTTATCATCACTTGAAACTAAGACGCTTAAACGTAATCATTTCAAAACATATAAAGTTACAATGCTTTCAGACGTCGGGATAAATGCACGAGACCTTATTATA